AAACCACCTTTCAAGGTAGTAAGAAAGGACTATCGTTGGCTCCGTCGATTGATATTTCTGTTTTCACTGAATAGAAAAGGTTTGTGACCAAAGAAGAGTCTGCCTCAGACAATCACTCTCCAAGCAAGCCAAGGGACACATATTCAAGTTTTTCTCTAGAAAAACCCAGAGAAACCAGCTTCAGGCATTACTGGATCCGAGAAGTCACGTTCTCAGGGATGTTCTCGGGGCTCCAGCTCCCTTTTCAGCAAACACAGGAAATGGGGTAAGTGTCATTCAAATTGCAGGTGAGACACACTAGTCATCCGACACTCACGCCCTGCCAGGTCAGTAAGGCCAGTGAAAGAGGCGGCCTTCTATTATGTTCCCGCAGAAATATCCCAACGGACTGCAACTGGCCGACTAGGGTCATGCGGCACTTCCATGGGCCTGAGGGTGTGACTTATCCCATCTGATAGAACAAGTACTCTAGAAGAAAGAGAAATTCTAGTATCAAAAGCTAGGGGAAGACAGGGCCTCCCTGGTGGCACGTTAAGTCTCATCACTATGAAGCTGTCCACAGCCACTGGAGCACGAGTTCAATCCCCGGCCAGGGAGCTACCCACATGGCACAGCAGACCTCTCGGGTCTCCCTGCGGCTCCCCTCAGCAGTATATTTCAGTAGATCCACCTGTTCTGCTCCCCACGCTGTCTCTGGTGAGTACACACACACACACACACACACACACACACACACACACACACACGCTTCACCTCTGGCCTGCACCCCAGCTCTTGTACATGTAAACAAATAAAATAAATCTTTAAAAAAAAAAAGATAGGGGAAGACAGCCTGATAGGCAGGTAAAATTACAGAGATCCACAAAGGGAAGTAATGATAATGCGGGGGACAGAGAGCTGCTCCCCCAAGTCTGTTCTCCCCTACTTTATATCCTAGGCATGAAAGCTAGACTCTGCTTCCCAGCCTGTCTTGCAGCGAGCACAGTGATTAATGATTAGGCCAAGTAATGGAAGTAGCAATACTGAATGCCCTCTGAGTCCAGGCTTTTAAGAGGTGATGCATGCCTTTTCCCTGCTCCCTTCCATCAGCCAGATGAAGATGACAATTAGGTCCTCGAGGATGGAGGAGCCGCAAGGTGGAAGCAGTCCAGCCTTCACTTAGAGAAGTGTCTCCCCTCCAATTTGAATCCCCACAAAGAACTGTCACGGGCTTCTGTTGTGTTCATCCCTGGCATGTCAGGAGCTATTAGTTACCTCAGTCTGGTCCATCCTAACCAACACAAGTAATAATCCTGGGACTATAAATAGGGTTCAGCTCATGAAGGATCTGAAAGTCAAGCTTCGGGGAACAGAGCAAGTGCTTGTGGAAGGGTAGGTCAGTGGTTAAATGGTCAAGATGCTGGGCAGGCCAAACAAATCTAAGATGCAGGGAAACTTCCCTCACTCTACTCTCCCAAAAGATGCTGAAGAGGATACTAAGAGATGATTGTGGATTCTCTGCTCTTGCTGCCTTGTACTTGATGAAAGAAGAGCCTACCTCCAGTTGGCTCAGACACCCATGGCAGTACCGGGGCCAGGGGATTTATTTCAGAAAAGAATTGGTGAGGACGTCCCCGCTTCATTAGGCACCCACCCATGTGGAAGATGGGCGAGAGAGAGATGTACTTCTCCGTCTCTCCAGAGAAAGAGCCCAGCGGGTTTTGATAGATACCCCCATAGGCCGTGTCTGCAACTTTTAAACACTTGACTTAACAACCGCCTTTAATTTCACTGAACATAAGTTATTGATCCTGATCTCTGTTGCCTGCAAGCCCCAATCCCAATTGTTAATTGAGCTATCGATTTTTGGCTCACATGAACTGTTCCTGAAGGGGTGAATCCTGGGTAATGTGGGCAGGTGGGCTATTGAGGTGGGGGAGGTGAGGGCTCTGCAGGGAAGTGATTTTAATTAGTAATAATAGCTTCATACTTAGCCGACTGGTTTGTAATGCGCCTGGTGACATACCTATAGATCAAGCAGACAAACCAGTGCTCGTCTTTCTATAGGAAAATTAAATTGGGTCAATTATCTAACTGTTGGGTGATTTCAGATAGTTACTTAACTCAAAATGAACCTCTTGCCATATGCACCGGATCCATAGCTCAGCCCCCAAAGCTTACTCAAGTTTGGAAGTATAATTAATCAGGTTGGCCTTTCTCCGGCCTCCCTGGTGTAACATTTTAATGCTCAGAAATTTCCAGCCAACAAAGAAAATGGCCGCTAATGGGGGAATGGTGATAGGAAAGGACTTAGGTCTCTGCTGTGGAATTATGTTGTCCTCTGTGGATACCAATTAACTGGGCGAAGCAGATTCCACAATCTAGGTTTTGTCAGTTAAAAGTCATGTGCCACAGAGGTGTTTAGAATGTGACCACATTTTTATAAAACAAGTAGTTACTGATAACCAGTTTATGTGGGCCACGATAAAGGCATGGAAGGATCCACAACACATCCTACTAGCGGCTAACAGTCGGTTGGGTGTTGAGAACACAAATGGATTTTTTTTGCCATGTGTGGATGTAGTACATATTCACATAATGTTGATTATGTGACAGGCATTATTTTAGGTGTTTTATAAACTATTAACTCATCTAATTCCCTAACAACCACCTGTTTTGGGTGCTATTACGATTCCCACTCTACAGACAGGGAAACTGAGGAATAGAGAATGAAGTGGTCTCTATGATTTAGGGGTACAGGTTCATACCTCTTCACATGGCTGTTCCGTCACACCCACCATCAAAGCACCAGTAATCCTCTATCATAGTCCACTGGGGCCTCTCTCCCCGTTACTCCCCTAAAATCTCTGTTGCACTAACTCTTCAAAACGCAGTTTATATTTTGCACTTACAGAACTTCTCCATTCATACACTAGTTTTCATAGGAAATACTTGATCTATAGTTAAAATTTCAGGGTGAAAAGACAGATTCACAAGATGTAAGTGTACTGAAAAGTCTTTCAATAACTGAACCAGGGCCTCCCTGGTGGCACAAGGGGTTAAAACACAACCTATGAAGCTCTCTGCAGCCACTGCAGCATGAGTTCCATCCCCCGCCAGGGAGCTACCCACATGGTGCAGCAGACCTCTCCTGACTAGCCCACTGCTCCCCTCAGCAGTGTATTTCAGTCAATCCGCCTGTTTTGTTCCCTATTCTGTCACTGGTAAATCTTCTCACCACCCCACCACACCTCTGGCCTATACCCCAATTCTTGTATGCATAAATAAATGAATCTTTAAAAAAAAAAACTGAACCAGGCACCCATTTTTAAATTTAAATTAAGTAAAATTGAAGATTCAATTTTTTAGTCACACAAGCCACATTTTAAGCACTCGAGCGGCATAGTCGGCTGCCATATTGGACAGATGCAGATTGTAAGCATCACAAGGGCACTTAATCATCCAGCAGAGAACATAAAATATCATAGCTGCTCAATGCATATTTTGAGGGAATAAAGGATGGAGGGAAGAAGGAGACATTCTAAACCAATCTATTGTCATTTTGCTTGTTCTTCTTTTAACTAAACCAAACTCAGTTTGGTCTACTGAAAAAGAGAAAACCCAAGAATAATCTACATGCACTTATGGAGTTCCTATTCAAAGCAAGGGACTCTCCTAGACTTCTCAGTTAGGCAGTTCTCTTTGTAAATCCAAATCCCATCCCCACCAGTTGCAAGATGCAAACCTTTATCTCTCATAGGATGGAGATAGTGACAACTCCTTCCTTGCAGTTTTAATTTGGGGACTCTTGCAAAGATTCCCGCATAGATGTGGTCGCATCTACCTGAAGTCCTGCGAAATCTGTGCCTCTGAGATGGTTTCAATCCTACATTGTGATTAGGTACAATGTAGGATTAAAACCACACAGTTGTGTATACCAATGTCACCGCAATAAAAAAAAATACAGTTTTTAAAAATTAAATTTTTAAAAGTTCCACAATAATGCCTGGCTCATTGCAGGCATCCTGCTAGTTATTTCTCCTTCCCATTGACCAAAGGTGATGCTAGAGATCACCAAGTTGGACCTAAAATGAGGTGCAATCCAACCAATAAAAGACCTAGTGCAGCAGAAGACTTGCATGTGGACACTATTATTCCTTCAGTTTCTGATAATGATATTTGGGGTAAACGTCAATTCATTTCATGAGTTCAAAACTGAACTGGGAGAATTCCTGTGGTGAAGGCAGCTCCCTAGAGAGTGGGAAAATAAACCTGCAATATCTTCAATTTGTATCTCTTTAGATGGTGTTTCCCGTCTTTTTCTTCCATTATCACTCCCCTAAAGAGTGTGTTTTAAACTTTTTCCCCCTACTTACCACCCTCCATGAAAATTTCACACTGCAGATAAAACTGTAGAGCTGTTTCTCCACCTTATGTGTATCTATGCTTTATGCATAAAAAGAACAAGATTTTTTTTTGCCACCCAAAGAACACATTCTGCCCCACTGGGTTCCAGATCACCCACCACCACAATGTATGGTTAAAACCAGCTGTTCCCAACCAGGGTAGATTCCATTCCTCTCAGGCAATGGTCTGGAGATATTTTTTGGTAATCACAACTGAAACAGGAGGGTGGTTCTGGCATCTGGGAATAGAGGCCAGAGATGTGGTCAAACATCCCACAGTAAACATGACAACTGCCTCCACCACTTCCACCACCACCAATGACCAGACCCCAGGGCCTCCCTGGTGGCACAAGGGGTTAAGCACAGCACTGAGAAGCTATCCACAGTCTCTGCAGCACCAGTTCAATCCCGCACAGGCCAGGGAGCTACCCACATGGCACAGCAGACCTCTCCCTGCTGCTCCCCTCAGCAGTGTGTTTCAGTCAGTCTGCCTGTTCTGCTCCCCACTCTGTCTCTGGTGAATCCTCTCACACACACACCCCAACTCTGGTCTGTACCCCAGTTCTTGCATGCATAAATAAATATTTTTTAAAAAACGAGATAAAAAACAAATACCGGTAGTGTTGAGGCTGAGAAGGCCGACAGGCTGTAGACTAATTCACTGTTGTTGTTGAACATTAAATTAAAATGATCCACTGAACAACCTGAGTCCTCCAGTCACAAACTCACATCACAAAGACGGCAGCCGCCCAGAGGCTATAGCACCCCGTGGCCGCCTGAGGTCCCCGCCGGAATCACACAACTGAGGGAAATACCTGCCGGCCGGCAGCCTGGACGCAGAAGGGCCGCTCCCAAGATGGCCTCCCTCCCAGAATCCTTCACTGACGCAAAATGGCGGACACCGCCAGCGGCCCGATCCCTGCACCCAAGGCCTCAGCTGCAGCTCAGCAGGGAACTGAGTGTGTTAGACGCGTGTGGGCCTCTCCTCGGCGATGTTAAAGGTTTCAAAACCTCTCCGAGGTGGAGGCGCTGTCTGTGGAAGGCACGGCCTGGCGAGTGGCCTGGCCAGCGTGACTCACAGAGTCATGGGCCTTCCCCGGCCCCGCCTGACCTTGCAGGAGGGGCAGCTTCTGGGATGGGTCATGGAGTGGATTTCTGAATACTGTCAAGTGAGCGCTACTTTGGGCTGAGTTGTAGGGACCGGGAGATCTATAAACCTTGTTTTTCTGCCATCCAAAATACTTATAGTTAATAAACAAGTTGGTCAACTGATACCATGTGTCTTACTGCTTATTTTCTCAGTCACAAGGCTTTGGTGACAATGTGTTATGAACAATGTTTAGTTTCCAATTCTGTGACATTTCCCTGAAATATGAGATCTATAAACCTTTTTATGGGGGGGAGCAGGGGCCAATTGTTTCCAGGGATTTCCCCAGGTGAGAGGAGACAACAGAGGCTGAGGGACGGTCGGCCAAGGAGAGGGTTTTCCTTTTATTAACACGCTCATAAAGCTACTTAAAAAAATAAATTAAAGCCAGGAAAGTATCCTTGGATTTACTGCCAGTTGAAGGGCGGTGGGCCCGTGCTGACAGCGCGGCTGTGACGGCGGGGCCGAGCTCTTGCCGGGTCAGCTGCAGGTCCACGGCTGCAAAACACACCCCGGGGCTAGCTGCCCTTGGGCTTTGACTCCCTAATTGACACGGGCCTCCGGCAGCCTCGGGTGCGCCCGAACCGGGGAGCCCATTCGGAGGCCCAGGCTGCATGGTCTGGACAGGGGCCTCTGAGAGCTCATTCTTGCCGCTTCTGCCAGGCCCCAGTGACGGCTCCGTAAATCACGCTGACAACTCCCCTCCCTCCTCCTCCAGCCGACACCCACCTGGGACGCCTCAGTAATCTAGGAGCAAACCCTTGAGGCTGCCTGGCACCAACCAGATGCCCAGCTGTCCTTCCTGCCTTCCCTCCCTCTGCCCTGCCCTTCCCCTGAGCTCGATTTGCTTTCTCTTCTCTTGATGAGTCTTTTCCTTCTTCCCCTCTCGTCTTCATTTCCATTTCCAAGAATTCTTGCTGCTGTGTAGGGCAAGCCACGCCCCTTCCATGTGGACAGACAAGAGCTTGCAGGGCCGCCATGTCATCCTCAGTGACCCCCGCACTGAGGCAACCCAGGCCCCTGACTTGGAAACCATCAAAGGCTGACCCCTGCAGCTGTCCCCTCTCCCCCGCGCCCCGACACCCTGCATTCATGCACAAGCACATGCATATGCACGCACACATGCACATGTGTGCTCACACGTAGGCACAGCACTCCTTTACATGTATACACCTACACGCATACACTCACACATGTGTGCATAATACACACCTTCACTCACACACGTTTGTACATTCATCCACATATGACACATGTATTCGTGTGTGTACACACATACACTGTAGCACTCACACCTGTACTCACAAATATGTGTGTATGGATTCACAAGTGTGTGTATGGATTCGTGTGTGTACTCGCGTACAAACAAGGATTTGCACATCTGTGTTCCTACACACATACACTCACACATACATGTGTGCTCTTGTGCATGCATTTGTTCATAAACATATGTGCTGGCATACACTCCAGCACTCACACACACTCGCTTATCACACACATACACATGTCCTCACACACATACACACACGCACTCACACAACACCACTTTCTGGCCACCAAAGCATACAGTGTCCTCTTAAGCCTCTGCTCATAATTATGAAAAGCTACATATAATGAATTAAACCCTCTATGCTGGAAGCCTTGGGTTGATTAGCTCACTGAATTCTCACACAAATCCAAAGAGGTTAATTCTGTCATCATCCCCATTTTCCAAATGCAGAAACAGATGTTAAGAGGGTAAAATGACTGTCAAAGACGACACTGTGCTAGAGACGGGATTTGACCCAGGAGTGTCCAGCAGCACACTGCAATGCCTGCTTCCTGCACACCTGCATGCGCACAAAGTGTGCACATCTAGAGTGTTGTGAAATATGTTCCAGGTGGATGCAAACATGAGGGAGAAAGCAGAAAATGTTCTCATGACACTCAGCCCATAGGTTGATGAGCACTGAAGCTGAGGAATTTCGTGGTGTGTTAAAGAGCTTGGATTATATACAGAAGGCTTATTAATCCCATTCATGTAACTTTTTTAAAAAAATAAGTAACTGAGCAGAATGTTTCACGACGCTCAGTTTGATACTCCAGAAGAAGAACAGGACTCCCAGTCTGCCAAGTACGGACGGGTCACGCCACGTGGCAGAAGACAAAGGTTCAAGACAGAAAACATGGAGGCGTCATAGTGGCTCTCGTGCCACATGCTTGCCCCTGTCAAAGCCCTGGGCCCCCCATTTTTTAGGCTGGCATCTTTCTAGACACAGGGAGCGTGGGTGATCACAGCTGCAGCTTACCTACCTCAGAAGTCCCTATCCACCCTCCTTCCTTACCTGACATCTTGCCATATGTCATTTTTTTTTATTTCCTTTATTGGATTTGGGAAACTGAACTCATTCAAGCAAAAATTATCTCAAAACCAGCAAGTGGGCCTGGGGAAAGGTGGGTGATTAAGAGAAGGCACACCTCTCTCATAGAGACTTGCCGCATTTTGCTCATAGGGCCATTAACACCAGAACTGCCTGGGCAAGGAAAGAGTAAAAGCAAAAAGCTGGTTATTGCTAGAGAAGCTGGCACTGTTATAGTCACTGTGTGGCTGAGCCCTCACCCTCTTTGGATTATTCTTCCCCTTCTCCCTTCCATGGCACCTTTCAGAATTCAGCACAGATATTTTCAGGAGAGATTACATTAACTGAGCACCAACTGCATGCCAAGTACTGAGAGGTCAGAGAACGGTGACACTACTCAAGTTCCAGTACCATTTGGAAAATAGGTTGAAAGCCAGTATCAGTTTGAACTCTGATACCACAACCTAAAGATGTGTTCAGTGTCCTGTGGAAACATCAGAGAAAGCTTCAATCATTCTGTCCAGGAGGACTGGACAAGGCTTCGAGGAGAAAACACTTAAGACTGGCCATAACAATAATCCCTACCACTTAATAAGCACCAATGATGAGCCTAATGTTGTAACAGAGCTGAAAACATCATCTCATTTCATCCCTAAAACAACCCTCTCAAGGTCAAACACTTGGTTTCCTTCTCCGTAAGAGAACCGCCATCTTGTTCACCATCCAGTGTTTTTTTGTTTTTTTTTTTTTTTAAGATTTATTTATTTATACAAGCACTGGGTACAGTCAGAAGTGCGGGAGGGTGAGAGGATTCACCAGAGACAGAGCTGGGAACAGAACAGGCAGACTGACGAAATACACTGCTGAGGGGAGCAGCAGGCAGCAGGAGAGATCTGTGCGCCATGTGGGACCCTTGCCAGTGGCCGGGGATCGAACCGGCGCTGCAGAGGCTGCAGGCAGCTTCGCAGCCCAGTGCTCAACCACTGCGCCACCACGGGAGGCCCCAGAGTCAGGATTTAAACTCATGTTTCCTGGCTCCAGACCTGTGGTCCTTCCACTGAGCTCTGCAAGTGAATGAAAGTTTAGGGGGTGGGGGAGAGAAGAGAGACTATTTTCTGTATCTGATGCTATGAGAACATCCTGCCAGTTTTAAGAATAAAAAAAAAAAAGAAGAAGAAGAAACATCTTACACTTTAGAAGGACTAGGTGCAAAATGCCATTTCCATGTAAATGACCCAGATGAACAAAGTACTCACTCACCCCACGAAGCATCTACCTGGGGGAAAAAATGTTGTTTACAAGAACAATACCAGATGTTGGACTCAGAATGCCCTGCCTTGACATTCGAAGGCTACCAAGGGAGCTACAGGGACTGGAGGGCAGGCAAAGCAAAAGGAGCAGAACAGGGTTCATTTAGAAGTGACTTTACATATTAAGTTAATTCCCAGTATAATTCAAGAGTCTGATGGGGGATGGAGGAATAATGGGAAGAACAGCTGAAGAGAGAGCAAGACCCATAATTCCGTCTACAAATAATGGTAGTTGAAATTAGTTGTCCCTGATTTGAATAATCTTGATAGCATCGTTATTTTTAATTGTGATTAGTGGTCGTAATGTGCTAATAAATAAGACTAAAGACAAGGTGCAACCTTGCCTTGTCCCTCAAATGATTTGGAATCGACTGCTCTAGACCGGATGAGCCACACCTGGACAGGCAACTAAAGGATGATTTTTGTGAGCTTTGGAGACAGAAGACTTAGGAGTAAATTTCCTCTGCACTCCGAGGTCAAACAATTCACACAAAAATAAGGATGCACCTGGCTAACTCTTCCCTGAGGTTGATGAAAGTCACACATGTATTCCAAGCATCAAGAAAACCTTCTCCACAGTTTGTTGACAATATCGTCCAGCCCTAGGGCAAGGCCAGAGCACAGTGACCTGCTGGAATATTCTTCTCTGGTATTTTGAAGATCGTCTCAGTGGTAGGAAGTTTTTGAGGTGGTGGTGAAGTAGCTACATAAGAGATCAACCCCAGAACCAAAATGGCCGCACATCAAGATGTCAGCAGAATTATGAAGTGGGTTCCTCATAAAACTCTGCCTGAGACAAGTGTGTGCATTTCCTCAGTGGTTTAAGACCACAGGAATTTATTCTTACATAGCTCTAGAGCTCCAGAAATCTGAAGTCAAGGTCTCAGCAGGGTCTCGCTTCTAACTGCAAGTGATTGTCGGCCATCTTTGCCTTCTCCTCATTTGCAGTCATGAAACTCCAAGCTCTACCTCTGTTGTCACAATGTCATCCTCCCTCTGTCTGCCTATGTCTTCAGGTGACATTCTCCTCTATGTGTGTCAATCTTTGTGTCTCTTC